GATGCAGACCAAGGAGGATGCCACTTCTCCAGATGAGGCACACAAAAGCTCGCTTGGCCTTTGCAAATGCTCATCTGGACAAAGAAGAATACTTCTGGTCTTCAGTGTTATGGTCAGATGAAACTAATTGAATTGTTTGGTCACAATGATGTTTCCTTTATTTGGCGTATGAAAGGAGAAGCCTTTAACCCAAAGAACATCATCCCTACAGGCAAACATGGTGGGAACCTAATTCTTTAGGGGTGTTTTTCAGCCAATGTACCAGGGAACCTAATCACAGTAAATGACACCATGAGGGGGGGGGGAAAAAAAAATACATGAAGATGTTCAATGGCAACATCAGGCATTCTGCAGAGGCACCAGTTGACATTTTAGCACGACAATGACCCAAAACACACAGCAAAAGTGGTGACGAAATGGTTAGCAGACAACAACATTAACGTTTTGCAGTGGCCCAACCCGAGTCCTGACTTGAATCCAATTGAGAATCTATGGAGGAAGCTAAAGATCAGGGTGATGTTAAGAAGACCCTCCAACCATAAAGATTTGGAGCACATTGCAAAAGATGAATGGGCAAAAATACCTGTGGAGACATGCAAAAAGTTGGTCTGAAATTATAGGAAGGGTTGGATTGCTGTAACAGCCAATAAAGATTTTTCTATTGACTATTAAAAAGGTTATGAATAATTTTGGACATTACACTTTTTGCTCATATGTAAATAAAAGCTGAGATATTTTTTGCCCAAAATGATGCCTCTTGTACATTTTATTGTCTTTTGGGAGATGCCTGTGTCATTTCTGGTCCCCACCCCAAAAAAAAAAGAAAAAGAAAAAACTTGATGGTTGAATAAAAGTCAAAATTTGCCAGGGATATGAGTAATTATGACTGTAAATTTGTTTGTTCAACTCATTTATTGATGTTGATCTCAGTTGGGCTGCCCAAATGTATGTCCCTGTCTAATGTTGTTGTAATTGTTATAATTTTGTTATGATGCATATTGTCTATTAATACAATAAACTGTCACTGCTGAAATGATACCGTTTCCATTAGGCATGAAATATATTAAAAGGAAGTTGCTACTTTCAAATTTCAGCCAATGATAGACCAAAATCAAAAAAGAACAGAAGTTTTGGGGTTTTTTTTCTTTTCTTCCCCTATGACTGTCTGTATATATTAAATAATGAGACATGATCATCTGGATCTTTGCATCAAGAAGTTCTCTAATGGGAGAAATTTATAAATTTTAGTTTAATAATCCTGCACTCTCTCCCACACTCCATATTATCCATTGTTGATCTACACACACACACACACGTCTGTTGCTGCCACAGACGTCACATGTGCTTATGTTTTTGTCATGAGATACTCTCACAAACAAAATCACGATTTAGTAATGCAGTAACGCAGCGTGCTTAAGGAACAGTAACAGTAATCTAATTACTTTTTTGCAATAGTAATCCCTTGCATTACACATTACTTGAAAGTAATCACGTTACTTGTAACGCATTACTGCCCACCTCTGGTTATAATGATGTGGCTATTCTATTTTACTCTATTCTATTTTGCATTAATAAAGAGTTGAGTGTTTTTGTTTTTTTTCTGATTGTGTATAATGGAAAGACAAACCTCCTGATTTTTTGACTCCAGCTGCCTCTTTAGATTCTCTGCTGCGTCTTTCACCTCTTGGAGCTGTTTGCCTGTTTGCTGTCTGATTTCAGTATTCTTCCATTGCAGGAGAAATGTTACATGAAGAAGAGCAGAAGAAATGCTCATGTTTGAGACACAACAATGATAACACAACCAGAGTCAAATCAAAGCTGTATTATGTAAATATAAGTTAATATAAATAATACATGAATGATTATTTGTAAATAATTGGAGACACTGTAGTGTCTCTAAAACAAAAAACAGCTTTTAATTTTTCCTTACTAATAATATGCACGCACAGGCCATTGTTCACCAGTTCTGCTGATTTAATTAAGTATGCAAATGTACTGCTTATGAGATTGAGGAAACCTGCAGTCAGCTAAGACTGAAGAAGTCACTTGGATGAGTGACAAAATGTTTCTCTCACTGAAAATGCTACAATCAACTTTTTGGGAATATGCATGCACACTTTTCTTATAAACTTACATGTATATATTCTGAATTTTCCTTTTTTATATAATTGACATTTTTAGATTTAGTAATTCATTTATATTGTACAGTCTTGTGGTGAGTAAATGGTGATATTCATAAAGAGTTGAATGAGCATATTCTGAATTTTTTGAATGTAAAGACAAACCTGACTTTGGTTCTCCAAGAGATTCTTCAGCTTCTCTGCCATTTCTTTCAACTTCAGGAGCTGACTCTTTAATTCACATTTATTCTCCGGACTCCTCTGAAATGTTACATGAAGAAAGAGCAGAATGTCACAAAACGGCTGTGTAAAGGAGGCAGGAGAGGACCCAATGCAAATTCGCAGAGATGAAAAGTAAACTCAAAAAGAATACAGCTTTATTGCTGGCAAGGTGGTAATACAAATAACAGAACTAAACTGGGAATGGGTAAACTCGCACATGGGGGACACGCACACTGAAACACTAGCCAAACTGACCAAAGCCAGAGCAAAAGTGCAAAAAAAAAATAAAATCTGGCACTCAAAACAAAAGTCTATGAAAGGCACTCAAGCTCAGGAGATGGTTCATAACTTTTTCAGACCGAACAGTTCAGGGGGCTGACCGCGTGGAAGATGGCAGTGATTGAGCAGGTCCAAAGGCGGCCTGGAAGGTAGCCACCGACACCAAGCTGACACGGCAGGAGGCTGGACGGGCTCCTCTAAGCTTTCAGCCGAAACAGGTGGAGATATGGGAGCCGCTGGGGACTGACTCTTGGCTACTCTCCTCCAGGGAACAAGAAGAGGTACTGGGGCTGGCTAAACACCAGCCATCCCCACCTGAGCAACAGATATGGGTTCTAGCTGCATCACCCTGGGAGCTGGTGTAGGTGCAGGAGCTAGCTGGACCCCCCCAAGGAACTGAGACGGGTGCAGGAGACGGCAGGGTCACAGTTGAACCGGAACTGATACAGATAACAGAGCTAAACTGGTAATGAATAAACTCGCATATGGGGGAGACACACAGGGAAACACAGCCATGACGGAGGATGCAACACTGAACACAGAAAAACTGGGACTTAAATACACACATGAGGCGATCAGGAGAAGTGGCAACACATGAGGAAACCACTGAAACAAATGAACATAACGACGTCACGTGTGAAACCAAACACAATGAACACAGGAGAAGACTTAAACACAGGGGTTGAGAACAAAAGGGGAATCTAATAAACAAATGAACTTAGATAAACTAATGAACAGAAACTAGGGATGCAACGAATTTTTTCAAACCGATACGATACCGATACTTGGATCTGAGTACTTGCCGATACTGAGTACAAAAACCGATACTTCTACCACACACACAAAAATGCAGACAGGTTTTATTTTATTCTCTGCCGATAAAAAATAAAATCTTAATAAAAATGACCACAAAAAAAATTTCAAGTGAAAAATAAGCACTTCTGTTAAATTATTGCAGAGTCTCCACATTGTAATTTAACAAAATATCACTGAACTATTGGCACTGTCTCGAGCTTTCAGAATAATAGATAAACACTTCTGTTTGGAATAAAATAAATACAAATTAGGTTTGAGAATAAAATAAACTTTTAAATTATTGCAGAGTGTCCAATTTCATATCGCGGCTCGAGTATGCTGAGAAGACGGTTCAATCCTATGCTTTCGACGACCGGCATTGGCTGATCATCCAGAGAAATAAAATGAGTCAGAGCCTCTGTTATTTTAACTGCCCGTGGATTTTCTCTTGACATTTTTCTTCGCTTTTCCAAAACCTGAGTTAAAGTTGCCTGTTCTGGTCCACACTGCTGACATTTTGTTTAGCCTAGCTACAGCAGCCTCCAGTTTCTCTTTTTTATCTGGAGCCGCCAGTCTCACTCGCCTAACCCTGTGCCTGTTTAGCGTGGGATGTCCCCCTAGTGGCCAATCTAAAAAACTACAGAAATGACAAGCCACCCTCTGATTAATGAAATAAGTTAGTATCGGTTCATGGTATCGGTTAACTTTTACGAGTATGAGTACACACACATTTTACAGTATCGGCCCCGATACCCGATACCAGTATCGGTATCGGTGCATCCCTAACAGAAACCATAAACATCAAAATAAACTAAAACTCAAACCCTTGTCACGATCCTGGGTCGGTGACAAGAAGTCAGAAATGCTCATGTTTCAGACACAATAATGATAACACAACCGTCACATTAAAGCTGTATTATGTAAATATAAGGGAGCTGATGTAGCATGATGCTAGCAACATTAAGTGTCATGGGATGATGTCAAAAATCTTGGAGTGGTAGGATTTCAGTTGTGTGTGGTTGCAGTTAATGATACAGAAACTGCTGCTGGTCAAAACTGCAGGAATATAAGTGCACATGTCTGTGATCATTGGAGGATAACAGATGTCACATATGTCCATGTTTACCATCTTCTTCGAGTTGTGAAAATTTTGAAGCTTTCTTTCCAGGTTAACACATCCATTTGTCAGTTGCTGAATGATTTGATCCCTCTCAAATTGGATTATCTGTCAGAGAGAAAGACAGACAAATGTTGATATTTCTGCAAGGCTATTTTGATAAAAGTGACAAAATTATTGAAGCTTCACACTGTGAGCAGCATGGTTCCAACCACTGTGTCCTCTTACTCATTCTGCTTGGTGTTTTTTTTCAACACATCAAAATCAAGTTAGTTAAAAAAAAACAGATTAGGATTGATTGTTTTACACAGGAGTGAGTCTACTCCTCTCCAACATCCTATGACACCACGACAATCACACAAAGTCAACAAATCATACATTTAAAGTGAGGCATCAGCGCTTTAGTTTAATGAATGGCTAAAACAGAATTGGTCCTCTACATAATTCTGAGCACTAAAAGGTTTGTGTGTGTGCGTGCAGTCTGATGGTGAGTAAATATACTGATGTGCGCTATTATTCTATCTATAAAGACAGCTGAGTCAGCAAATTCTGAATGTTTATAATGGAAAGACAAACCTGCAGATTTTGATTGTTGGACTCCAACTCATCTACTTTATCTTTCACCTGCCGGAACTGATTCTTGACTTCAGTTCGAATCTCCAAACTTACCTGAAATGTTACATGAAGAACAAGTAGAAGTCAGAAATGCTCATCTTTCAGACACAATAATGATAACACAACCAGAGTCAAAGCTGTAAATTAAATCTGTATTATATAAATATAAGAGAGCTGATGTAACATGATGTAAACAAAATTAAGTGTTGTGAGATCTCGCAAAACCTTGGAGTGGTAGGATTTCAGTTGTGTTTGGTTGTAGTTAATGATACAGAAACTGCTGCTGGTCAAAACTGCAGGAATATAAGTGCACATGTCTGTGATCATTGGGAGGATAAGAGCCATCACATATGTCCATGTTTACCTCTTTCTTCTGAGCGATGATTTCATTGATTTTTGATTTCAGTGTAAGAAATTTCTGCATCACATTCTGAATGATTGCAATCAGCTCAGATTCAGTGATGATGATCTTTTGGAGAGAAAGACAGACAGATGTTGATGTTTCTGCAGCGCTTTGTTGATAAAAATCATTTGAACATATTTAAACAACTTCTGAAGACATCAGCAACGAAGCTGAAGCTCGGGTGCAAATGGGTCTTCTGAATGGACAGTGACCACAAGCATACCTCCAAATTAGTTACAAAGTGGTTTAAGGACAACAAAGTCAAAGTTTATGAGTGGCCATCACAAAGCCCTGATCTCAATCCCATAGAACAGAGGTTCCCAAAGTGTGGGGCCCTTAGGTGGTGAGGGGGGCGTGAACATTTTTCT